ATCATCCCAACATGTAGACAACCCAAGCGTGCAATGCAAATAATAGAATTTCATAACCCTATGCAAAGCTAAGTATCTCATTAAGCAACCTACTTCATATATACATTCATAATATCACATTACATCATATCTTGTCATATTCATGAAGATCATACACAACTTGACATACATAAATCATAGGCAACATAGTCATAGGACAACACCACTACAACCATCTCTTAGGAACCCACAAGTACAATGCGTAAGAGAAGTCTCATACCCTCTCTTACACCATGTAGAATCCCTTAATATAGCCCCAGTGAGAGTTCATACATTTCATTCATTTACTTTTACATTAGGGAAATAGGTTGTTGTAACCAACATGATACCATGAGAGCTATATGAAATCCGGTGTTCTACTCTCACACCAAAAAAAAAAGGGTTAGCATTTGCCTAAGGTGTAACCTTTCGTGCATAGCTATCTAGGTGGATCCACTAAGCTACAATCCTATGTGGTCACATAGTTAAGGGTAAAGCAGATTGTTGCTAGAAACCCTAACTTGCCAAACGTGGGGATTTTTATCTCATGAGACAACATATATTGGGAATCCGTACTTGCTAAACGTGAGGAAACCCATGTTGATAGTCTGACTTACTAAACTTGAGACCTCATCTCATTTACATGCCCTTCCATTGCTAAGCATCTATTCCCTTTAGTAATTATGTTTAGTCATCACATAAGTTCACTCTAGCCTGTTGATGACATTCTCATCAATGGTTACAATGTATATCAAACTGGAGAAACATACGAATTCATATTTATTGCTTTAACTCAATAAGACTTTATACCTAACCATGTCTTTCAAGTAATATCAATTTCTCTCAGCGATATCTTTAGTTTATCAAAGAGCAAGATACAAATAAAAGAATAAAGTCCAGGAAATGTTAATGGCAGCCGGACTCCGCGGGTAATAAGAAGTTGAAGCTCATTTTTTTGAAATCCCACTATAGTAATGCCAATAAAAGTAAAAAATGAATGACCCAAAGTAATGAGAAAATAACTTGTAACCGTGGAGGTACCTATATGTCTCTTCAATTACCATTAACATCACCATTATTAAAACCTTTTAAGCAACATAATTGTCACAATAAATTTCAATTTCTAAATATAAAAGCAAATGAAAAGATAATTATTCATTAATAATAATCTTTATAAAGAAATTAACATATATTTTCAACAATTCATATTTGTGTTATAGAAGGAATGACACTAAGTGTAGAGAAAAAAACTATTTAGGAGTACCTTTCCTTCTGTCTACTTGGTTTCTTTTTAGTCCTTCTTTATTATTAGAAAGAACCTCAGAAGAGAAGTCTACTTACATTGTCCATTTGGAGAAGTCTTTTATACCTAAATCTTTGCTAATCACCAAAACTAACATTCTTCCATTATTGATATCATCAAGATTGAAGCTCCCACTACACAAAATGGCCACCATCCAGTTTCAAAACTTCTTTATTCCTATGACAATGTAACCCATGGATTCAATGTTGTATTGTTTTAGTTTTTAGGCATGCAATAAGCTCAACATAACATGGTATTGCCTGTTTGTATTTATGTTGTATTATCTTCAATTGTCCTCTAGTTTCATGCATAAATGTAAGTACTCACAAACTACCAACCAAAACAATTGGTTTGTTTGATTTGTTGGAAGCCTAAACAAGAGCCGAATCTTTTGAATTTCATAAAAAATAAAATTTATGCGAAAAAATCTACTTGTCCTTGATGTACGTAACATTTATTTTAGTTTCTTAGGAATTTCTAACGTCTAATATTTACCAAGTAGCTATATCCAGCTTTGTGGAAGCATTGCAAAGTTTATCCGTACAAAAAAAGAGAGATGATGTGTTTTCGTATGAGACATTTTATACATTATTTTGCTTCATATATGATTGTCGACACCGCAAAAGGCGTGATGTGAATATAACCTAATGCTTGCATTCTCCATCTTTGGCCTTATAGCTACGAAACTTATACCAAGAAAATGAAGTAGCAAGGTCTAATCACTTCAAAAGGATGCTTATAGAACTCAAATTTCCAAATCTCCAATTCAAAAAGCAAAAAACTAAACAGAAGCATAAATAAAAACAAAAAATGAGCAACATTTATACAACAGACAAAAAAAAGAATGATCTTTCACATTCTTTGCTTATGTTACTGATCCATAACCAATATAAAAATAAATTTCAATCACCCACTAAATCAGAAAATGTTAAAACCGAAGGATCTTCTAGATATCTAACTAATGAACAAAAACATACCACAAGTGAGATCTAGGGTATATTCCAACTAATCGTAGGGCAAAATTGCAATCAAATTTCTTTTAAAAGAACACTCACAATGTCAACTATTTCAACACATAAAACTTATATTCAATTATCAGTAAAAATGAAAGGAAGATAATAGACCATCTACTTTCAATTCCTTTTTTCTCATCACCAAATTGAAATGTTAGTGATGTTTCTAAATGTACACCATTTCACGCTTCAACAATTGACCAATTATGACCAGTTAAATTATCTGATTAAAAATGTACTCATTGACTATTTCTTCTGCCACATGGCCAATACCATAGAAAATGGAAAATATAATCACCACTTCAACATCATAACTTCATATTGAGATGAAACATATTTCATTTGGTTAAAATTTGCTGACTTTAGGATGTTGTTTGCGAGCATTACACTTATAGACGTTAGATGATGGTAAAATGACACTATCACTGTCGTTACTGGTAGTAATAGGATCTAACATTGCCCATCAACTATACAAAATTGAAAATATAAAGCAAAGCTACACAATACTACACACTTGACTCATACTCCTGAAACTTATCTCTGAGAATCCATGTTTGCTATGAACAAAATCATTATATCTATTTAGACTTACTGAGAAAATATTAATATTGTCTTACACATATTCAACCATTACATACCCTATTTAGACTACCATATGAAATATTCAATAAAAGTGGATTTAGACGATTTTCCCACAACAAAATACTCTAGCCTTAGAACATTAGCGACAAATGATAAAGATAATGAAACGAAATAAGTTAGATAAAGACATACACAGTAAACAGAAAATTCAGAGCAGCTATTCATAAATAAAGAGGAGAAAAGAAGTTACTTGATTGCTGCACATAAGAGAGTAACAGATTATTGGACAATAACATGTTGTTGGAAGGATTTATATAGATGAGTGAAGCATCTGAAAAGGTTAACCGTACAATTTTAATAAATATTAATTTATTAATAATTAAATTAAATTTGCTTATAATCTGAAACCTAGTTTAATTCTCTAGAAACGCTTCATGCATCCAACGTATAGACTGCTCAAGCGACAAACAGTTTTGAACTTAAGCGTCCAAAACTGATACAATATAAGTAAGCAATAATTATAATTGCAGACTTAAAGGAGTATAAAATCACAAAGATTTTTGTCTCCACCAGAAACACAAATTGGAATAATTTCCTTAAGATTGTAGCC